TCTCTCTCTCTCTCTCTCTCTCTCTCTCTCTCTCTCTCTCTCTCTCTCTCTCTCTCTCTCTCTCTCTCTCTCTCTCTCTCTCTCTCTCTCTCTCTCTCTCTCTCTCTCTCTCTCTCTCTCTCTCTCTCTCTCTCTCTCTCTCTCTCTCTCTCCCCCCCCCCTCCATAAGCTCCTCATGTGTTCCTCACCGTTAGAAGCATACATTGCTCTCTGGAAGAGTCCTGGTATTAAAGCATAAAGGCTACACGTTTCAGCTTTTTCCTCTGGTAGCGCTCCCTTTATACCTCTATCCTCTCGCCATCCCTCCACATTGCCAGTTCCATGCACAAAGCCCGCCAAGGCAGCATCAGCTGGTTTCAAGCATATTGCCCTCCCCCACCCCTTGAAGCGCGCGGCCACCATTTCTCCACATGGGACTTAGAAATGCGGTCTTCGCATGAATTCTGCCTGGAATCAGCCCTCGCCAGTGCCGAGCTAGGGCTCTGATGACCTGCACCATCTCTGGATTTAGTCTTCCTCTGCCTGGCTCGGCTGTGTGCCAGGATCTTCTACTGAATAAACGCCGCCGCAAGGTCCTGAGCAAATAGGCTAAGTAGCCTGTGCAGCCTCACAGCTTTGGACCACAGGGGCAAGCCTTCCCCTGCAGAATGTTTATTCATGAGCCTTTCCCGGTCTCCCTAATCTTAGTCACCTGTGAATCACTGATAAATATCACTGCACCTTGCATAAATGGCTACCAAGCGAATAACCACATGACTTACTAATGAACGTCTCCTGTCGGATTTGATCTCTCTCGCCGTGTGCTTGCTCATTTTTACTTTGATTGATCCTCTCTGATACCACCACTGTCTGACTTCTTTCACTGAATTCCGCGTTGATGTGTGTCTCCTTAAATGGGTCATTAGACCCTGTAAAGGGCACAGAATAGAAGAAAAGGACCGTGTGGGTTGTTCCTCAGTTTCACTGAGGTGAATAAGGAAATCAGTCCACAACGCAACTGCCAAGCTACACGAACTGCATAAAGTGGCAAGATACTCTCTGATGGGTATTCAGGGTTGTTAACTTTTCCACACATGGAAAGAACCAAAACCCAAGCTGCTGGGGATACTGCGGGGGTTTTTTATGACTGAACAGTTTGCAGTGGAAAGTCACACCCTGCATCCAGTTTTTGTGAGGTGGGAAGACACACCTTAAATCTGGGCCACACCTTCTGCTGGCAGACTATGTAAAAGACACAAAGAAGGGGCTAGGGAGATGGCTCAGAGGTTAAGAGCACTGACTGCTCTTCCAGAGGTCCTGAATTCAATTCCCAGCAACCACATGGTGACTCACAACCATCTACAATTCAATCTGTTGTCCTCTTTTGGCAGGTAGGCAGAGCACAGTATATGTAATAAACAAATAAATCATAAAAAATGACACAAAGAAGTAAGTTCTTTCTCTTTGCCTGCTTGCCCTCACTTGCTGACAAGTTCATTCAATCACTAGTATTATTTCTTCGGGACTCTGGAACATGCTGGAGACCAGCTGAGACATCTAGCCACATGGACTAAACAATGACTATATTCTTAGGCATTGCATCAAGAGACAGCCATTATTGGGGAACTCAGCCTAGCTTGGAAGCCACTCTATTAAATCCTATATATTCTATATCAGCTTTGTTTCTCTGGAGAACCATAACTAATACATACATAATTCCAAACGATTCATCATGCCATGGCAGTTTATCCATGAATGTTCTCAACTACAGGTGAACTTCAAGCATGGGCTTTATGTGTAACAGGTATCTGGGCTTACCAAACCTGGCCATGGTCTGTCTACTGTCTGAGGTGTTTCACTGGGCCATCATTTCCCTGTTATTTTTTCTCACAGCAGTGAATGTCTTCCCACTGGTCACACAACATCTTTTCTTTTCTGTAGCTCCTCCCTCCACCAGCTTCCTGACTCCAAAGAAGTTCCAGAATTCTTGCCTAGTATCACCTCTTATGAAGACCCCAGAAGACGCTCACCAGCCACAGTGGAGACCTTATAATTTGTTCTTTTGAAACTGACCATCTGCTAATCCTGAATTCTCTTTGGAAAACCTCAAGCATACTCTCTCTCTCTCTCTCTCTCTCTCTCTCTCTCTCTCTCTCTCTCTCTCCTCTCTCTCTCTATCCTCTCTCCCCCTCCTGTCTCTCTTCTCTCCCTCTTCCTCCCTCCTCTCTCTCCTCTCTCTCCCCCTCTCCTCTCTCCCAACTCTCTCCCCTCTTTCTCTCTCCTCTCTCTCCTTTCTCCTTCTCTCTCCCTTCTTTTCCTCCTCTCTCTTTCTCCCTCCTCTCTCTCCCTCCCTCCCATCTCTCTCCTGTCTCTCTCCCTCCTTCTTCTCTCTTCCCCTCTCCCTCTCTCTCTCTCTCTCTCTCCTTTCTCTTTCCTCTACCTCCCTCTCTTCTCTCTCCCTCTCCCTTTCAATACCTCCTTCCTCCCTCCATCTTTTCCCTGAGTGTCTTAGTCCTTATTTCCTCCTGGTTCTTTTGTCATCTGACTGCACCACAGGAGTCATCTATCTCACTTCCAACATGACACTGACAAGCCTTTTCAATATTACAACTGAAGTATTACTCAAGAATCCCACTATCTCATTGTTATTCTGTATTTTTTCCTCCAGGAAACTATATGTACTGTACCCATGCCCATCTTCCTGGTGCTCAACATGATAAATAAACGAAAAGCCAAATGGTTCGAACAGATTAATTTCAACTTCATTCAAAAACCCATTTCAATCAAGATAGGAGATTGCCATCAAAGCACCATCAAACTAACTTGGTTACAATTATTTATGCTGCATACATGCAGGTCTGAATAAAACTTACAGAATTTTGTTCTCTCTGTCCACCATGTGGGTCCTAGGGATCTAGATCAAGTCATCATGCTTGGTAGAGAACATTTTTACCCCCTGAGCCATCTTGCTGTCCTTTGGATTTTTTTCTTTTTTAATTTTTAAGGGCAGGAAGAATGTTTGAGCATGAGGTGTCTCTCCAGAGGTTTATAGATAGAAGCATGGTTCTTGGTGCAGAATTGCTAATAGATAAGACATCTAAGGGATATTTAGATTATGAAGTCTCTGACTTCACTAATGGGTTAATCCATCAATAGAGTCATAATTTGATGCCATTATTAGAAGATGAAAAGCAGGAAGTGGTGTTATACTGGCTACTTTTATGCCAGTTTAAGGTAGGACAGGATCATCAGTGAGACGTGAACCTCTATTGGGAAAATGACCCTGCCCAGATAGGCCTATGAACAAGCCTGTAAAACTACTTTTTGAAATAGTGATTGGTATGTGAGCACCCATCCTATTGTAGGTCATGCCCTCCTCTGGGCTGGTGGTCCTAGGTGCTACAAGAAAAACAGGCTAAGCAATCCAGGAGGAGCAAGCTAATCACAGTTCTCCTCCCTGGCCTTACCTTTACCTCCTGGCTCCAGGTTTCTGCCCTGTCTTCGTTCCTCCCCTGACTTAACCTCAGTGATGAAGTGTGACCTGAAAGCTATAAATTGGAATAATCCTTTTCATTCCCAAATGGTCATGGTGTTTTCTCATAGCAATAGCATCCCTCACTAAGATGGGTCTGCTTTGAGGAAGCAACTCTCTAAGATGACATTTCTAAATCTCTGAACTTCATACGGTCTACTCTTCTCTGTGTTTCCCAGCTTCCATGAGGTAAGTATTTTTGTTTAACTACTACTTCCAAGAGTACTTTTTTGCTCCCTACTGCTCATGTGACCTTGGCAACCATGAGCCAAGATACCTGTTGCTTTTTTTTTCTTCTGTGAGTTGATTTACTCAACTAACATGAAGTTTAAGAGATGCAAAGAGAATATCATGAGGTTCTACTCCATCCTCCTCTTGAGTATGTCACGTCTGCCCAAGGTCTCTGTAACTTTACTAGAGGTGGCCATCTAAACCACAGAGTAACATACCATGTGCATCTCACCAAACACACTTCAAGGCTCTCTTTGAGTCCATTCCCTATCCAGAGGCATTATTACACAGCCTTTAAATTTTTGGAAACCTCCATCTTACAGGACTAACAAGCTTTTCTATAGGGTATTAATGTTTCTATATCATGACCATTTAAAATCTCAACACCAACATAAAGAAGTGGTTGTTATACTTTTAAATAATGTCCATTGCAAACTCAATTTTCAAATGACTATGTAAAGTATTTTTATGTGTTTGCTGTTAGGGGACTCAGGACCAATGCTTTTTCTTACTTATAAGCAGTTTAGAGTAGTTTCCATTATATTGTGTCATTTACCAGTCATACCTCTTCTACAGAAGGAAATGCATAGGTTCTCTGGTATATGAACATCTCAGGCAAGGAAACATTTGAAATTATAATAACAGTGTTATGGTGTTGTCCAAGTTTGCTTTTTGTTACTGTGATAAACACCGTGACCAAAAGCAGCTTGAGGAAAGAAAAAAGTTCACTTTCTCTTGTACTTCTAGGTCACAGTGCGCCATCGAGAGACATCAAGGCAAGAACTCAGACATTGACCATGGCTGAACTTTGCTTACTGGATTGTCTTCATGCTCATCTCCCTTTTGTATATAGCCAGGCTCACTTGGGAGGAGATGGCACAGCTTAGAGTAAGTCGGGCTCTCCCTCAACAATCAACATTCCAGACGATCTCTTACAGACATAGCCACAGACCAATCTGATTGGGCAGTCCCCTACTTGAGACTCCCTCAGATGACTCTGGATTGTGTCAAGCTGACACGTTAAGCCAACTAGGCTAGTGGTACTCTGCAAAATTACAGATATGCTTCAAAGATCCAGAAAGAAATATATCAACTCATGGTAAAAAGAGTGGGGTTAGAAGATGAGTTAGAGATTAATAATGGCATTCCCTAACAGCTGACACTGCTCACCCCCAGGAGAAGGATGCATTTAAAATATATCTTTCACAGCCAGGGAAGTCTCCAGTGTCTAGTGCTTTCATAAGAAGATGCCACTTACCTTCCAGTGCAGTCTTGGAATGTATGGTGTCAAAGAGGAAAGCTTCTCTGTGCACAACAACATTTAAGAAGATCAAAGGGAGATGATTCCTGAAGTGAAAAAGCAGGAAGAATGTTGAGTGGTCAGCCAGCACGTGCCACCAATGCTTCCCTTCTTGCTGATTTCTCCATCTGCCTAGATTAAGCCAAACATCTTCCATATAGGTGGTGACTTCCGGGGTCCACATGTGACCTCTTTTTCTTGGCCAATATAAATGTTAATAAAGTAATATGCAAATTGGATACATCCCCTAGATCTTGTCTTTATGATGTCTGCCAAAACATGCAAACTGCATTAGGGGTAAATGCTGTTCCTATTCTTCATTCCAGAGTGTTCCCCTCATTTGGCATAATCGATTTGTTGTTAATAAAGGGCCTGTCATAGCCAACTTGTGTTTTGTTAGTCGACAACCAGGTCCATGCCAGGGTAAACTTGCTTTGTAAATAATCATGACCCATCCAAGGGGCACAGAGGCAAGCCAGCACTTAGTCATTTTGAATGACCTGTTTGCACAGTTAACTTCCCTCCTGCTGGGGAAAGGTTACAAATTTTCCACAGTGATTTTGAATTTCTTTTTATCCCTTGTTTTATTTTGCATGGGAGAAACTGTTTCTTTTTAATGAAGCTCCAAAGAAAACAGAAAAATAAAAAAGAGCTCAATTATTGATCAGCATTTCTGATGTTAGAATAGGAAAGTGACTTTCACAGATTGCTTCTGAGGTGATTTTAATTGATTGAGTCATTATTTTCTCAAGCACAAAGGAAAATTCTGGGAACGCTCCACTTTGCCTTTCAAGACTAGGGTGAGAAGCTGTGTTGGACTATTCTCTTTCAGTTTAGTTGAAAAGCATAGCAGAAAGGTTTTCTTTCAAAATATTTGTTTTTAGCTTTTCCTTAAAAAAATGTGTTTAAACAAATGCCAAGCCCCACTTCTAGGAGTGAATTTATTACAAAGAGCAATGAACAACCACAAACGGGTACCTAGTGCTTGAGCTTCTCATGTCCTCAGGACAAGGTGGTGTTTATGGCAGAGTGAACTGGAGCATTTTGCACGCAGACACCAAGTCTGCTTAAGACCACTATCTTTCCTGTTTCCAAAGAAATTCCACCTGAGCCACATCCCCATTTCAGAAAACATCAGCTGAAGAAAAGGGAAAAGTTCCACTCATTGTGTCTGTGCTTAGAGCTTTACAGTATGACTGCTCATGGAGCAGGCTTCCACACAGTGAGAAGAATGTTTCTCACTGATTTACTATAGGGTTTGGTGCGACCAAGTTTCTAAAGCGCTGTAGACTGAGAATATGATTTGGCTGCCAACTGATTCAAAAGTCGGTTTAGCTGAACGGAAAATGCTAGATGCTCTCAGTGTCCTTTAGCGTGCTTAAAAAGTCTGCTTTTTCCCCAACATTTTCTTCTGACATGTAATAAAAAAATGACTAACTTCATTTTATCCCAGGAACTTCCTAAGTGAAATCATTTTCCTCTGGAAAGTTTCAGGTGTGAAGTTTCATATCATTCCTAGCTGGTGTCTTTTATTTTCTTTTCATTCTGGTAAAGTTTCTTAAATCTTTGATTAGAAAGAAATCCTTCCCCTTTCCTATTTCTTTTTCTTTGTCAAGATGCACCTGAGGAGAACAACACCATTTCCTCTCACCTTTTATAGACCCTAGCTTCCTTCTCCGTTCCCTGTTCCTGCATTGTCTGCTACACTAACTTAGAGAAAGAATCATTCATGTTGACCTGGACTCTCTGCTTTGTTTTTTCTTCCACATGTCCCAAATAACATTAATATTTTAGAAACCTAAAATGTCCTGGTTTCACACTTAAATATGTTTTATCATGTATTGACATTTCAAGGCCTTTTTTGTGTGTGTGTATTTATTATGCTTTCTTGAGATGTGTGTCTGTACACAGACAGAAACGCATACACACACACATGCATAAATGCATACACACACAGACACTCACAACCTTCTGACAGAGACTGTATGCCCTTGCCCTCTTTTTTATTTTTAATAGATTTTATTTAAATTAGAAACAATCTTATTTTATATTACAATCCCAGTTCCCTCTCCATCCCATGCCCCCCACTGAACCCCCTATCTCTTACCCCATCCACTCCCCAGGGAGGGTAAGGTCTTCCATGAGGGATCATCAAACTCTGTTAAGTCATTTGGGGAAGGGCCTAGGCTAAGAAAGTATCCATCCTTGGGAAATGGGCTCCCAAAGTTTGTTCATGTACTAGGGATATATCCTGGTTTCATTTACAGATGTCTCATAGACTGCCCAGGCCTCCTAGCTGACACCCACGTTCAAGGGGTCTGGTTTGGTTCTATGTTGGTTCCCCAGCTGTCAGTCAGCCTTGGGTACATGAGTTCCCATTTGCTGACGTCAGCTGTTTCGGGGGTTTCCCAGCATGGTCTTGACCCCTTGGTTTACTACTCCTCTCTCTCTGAAAATGAATTTTAGGAGTTTGGCATAAGTGCTTGGCTGTGGGTGTCTGCTTCTACTTCCATCAGCTACTAGACGAAGGCTCTAGGATGGCATTTAAGGTGGTCATCAATCCCATTATCATGGAAGTGTATTTAAGGTAGCATTTCCACTATAACTTAGGGTCCTAGTTGGGGACATACTTTTGGATATCTGTACAATTCCCTAGTGTCAGATTTCTCTTTAAACCTATAGTGGCTCCCTCTATTGATGTGTCTCTTTTCTTGCTCTCTTCTATTCCTCTCCCCACTCAACCTTCCTGCTCCCCCATGTTCTCCCCATTCCTCTCCTCTTTCTCCTACATCCTTCAACTCCCCCCATGCTCCCCATTTGTTCAGGAGTTCCTGTCACTTTCCCCTTCTCTGGGGGCCATGCATGTCTCTCTTAGGGTCCTCCTTGTTTCCTAGCTTCTCTGGAGACGTGGATTGTAGGCTGGTAATCCTTTGCTCTATGTCTAATATCCATATATGAGTGAGTACATACCATGTTTCTCTTTCTGTGACTGGGTCACCTCACTTAGGATGGTTTCTTCTAGTTCCATCCATTTGCCTGCAAATTTCAAGATTCCACATCTCCCTCCCCCACCCCCGAACAGTACTCCATTGTGTAAACGTGCAATACTTTCTGTAGCCATTCTTTGGTAACGGAGCATCTAGGCTGCTTCCAGTTTCTATTACAAATAATGCTGCTATGAACATAGTTGAACAGATATCCTTGTTGTATGTAAGTGCATTCTTTGGGTATATGCCTAAGAGTGGAATTTCTGGATCTTGAGGTAGACTGGTTCCCGTTCTGGAGAAACTACCATACTGATTTCAAAAGTGGCTATACAAGTTTGCACTCCTATCTGCAATGGATTAGCGTTCCCGTTTCTCCACTTCCTCTCAAACATAAACTGTTATTGGTGGTTTTGATTTTAGCTATTGTTATGTATAAGATGATAACTCAGAGTTGTTTTGATTTGCATTTCTCTGATGGCTAAGGAATTTGAGCATTTTCTTAAGTGTCTTTTCCCATTTTAGATTCCTCTGTTGAGATTTCCATTTAGTATGATACCCCACTTTTTAATTGAATTATTTGGTGTTTTGGTGACTAGCTTCTTGAGTTCTTTGTATATTCTGGAAATCAACCCTCTGTCTGATGTGGGGTTGGTGAAGATCTTTGCCCATTCTATGGGCTGCAATTTAGCCTTGTTGACTGTGTGTTTTGCTTTACAGAAGCTTCTCAGTTTAATGAGGTCTCATTCATTAACTTTCAATCTCAGTGTTTTTGCTACTGGCTTTATGTTCAGGAAGTGGTCTCCTGTGCAAATTCTTTCAAGGGTACCTTCCAATTTCTCTTCTGAGAGGCTCAGTGTAGCTGGATTTATGTTGAGGTTTTTGATCCATTTGAACTTAAGTTTTGTTCATGCCATCTTCTGTATGTCCTCATCCAGTTCTGCCAGCACCATTATGTGAAAGATGCTTTCTTTTTTTCCATTGAATAGCTTTGGCTTCTTTGTCAAAGATCAGGTGTTCATAGGTGTGTGGTTAATATCATAGTCTTCAATTCAATTCCATGGGCTCACCTGCTTGTTTTTATGCCAATAGCTTGCTTGCCCTTTGAAGTAAAAATGAAAACCCTCCCACAGGATGCAGGGGGTGAACTGTCCTTGGTTGATCGCATAGGACTGTGCTCCTATTGTCATGGCAATACCCAGTCCTGTCAATACAAGAATGGCTTTTGCTTACCTTGAACAATAAGCTATTCAAAGAGACATGCCTTCTCTCCTAAGAAACAGTTAATCCCTTCCAAGTTCAGGATGTTTTTGTGTGTTGACCTTGAGTAGAGAAGTCTGCTCCTAGGTGAGTGTGTCAGTCTTGCATTCCTATGAGGTTAACCCACTTTCTTCTTTTGCAATAAATTTAATCTTTTTACTGACTGATCTCTTCTATTACTTTACATCAAGATAAGGATTAGTGAATTCCTGAAGAAGATAGGCTTGGAAATCAAGTGTGACTAAGGAAATAATGAAGTCAAGAGTTTTAGCCATCATTCACAAGCCTTCCTCCATTTTCAAGTTGTCAGCCCTTATTACTGCTCTTAAGGCTGACACCTTGAAGGTTTGATGGTTTAGGCTTAAAATTGTGATCCCAAAATTACTGCTTCACATATTGCTCATTATACATGCAAAAAACCCTCCGGCCTGATGTCAAGCAGTAAATTTCTATTACAGTAGCCTGAGCTAAAAACAAAGCAAGGCAAAACCACTAGTCTCTAAGAAAACTCTCTGAAAACACTGTGCAGTAGAACGTTGTCCCTCTATACACATTCAGGCAGATGTTATTATTTTGGAGTTGTGTTTAGGGCTTTATATGTCCTGTCATAGTTTGTTCATTCTGGGAACACTGATGAACACCAGTAGACACTACAGAAGAGATGAAATTGTGTCCTGTGTGCCTGTGTCACAGAGAAGAGCTGAGAACAGCTGATCTCCCCACACTGTCTTACCTGCTTCTAAGGTGGTTAATTTTCACCATCCTCTGAAACTGCCTTATGTCCACGAGGCTGGGATCAAATGTGCTGTTCCTGTTGCTCTGTCAGAGCAGGTATGAGGCCATCTTGGTTTTCTGAGGCTCCTCCTCAGTTGCCCATCATAAAGACAAACCTTGATTGACAGAGGCAGCTGTGGATCCCATTCATAGTCATTGGCTCCTTGTTCTTTAGACTCTTTTTGTGGCTAGAATGGCTTTGTTTCAATAAGACCCAGTCAATTTACCTACAATCAAGGACAGAGGGGTATCATATGGACATACAGAAAGAAAAGTTAAAGGTGTTTATAGAGGTGACTTTAGCCTAAAGAGCAGCCTGGAGTGGAGACGATTCTTTTCAGACTCATGGGGAAGTAGTGCAAAATAGAGAGAAAAATAAGATAATTTTTTTCTCTTTAATTTTGGGGCGATTTTGTTCATCTAGTTTTAACAGTTTCATATCTTTGACCATGAATGAAATTCTTGCTACCATCTTGCCCTGATTTGTATGTGTGTGCGTGTTCCTGGATGAGTAAAGGCACATAACCCATTGTGACAGATTTATTGTCTCTATATGGGTGCCTTCAAACTTTAAGCATAGAATATTTAAATAAAATAAAAGTGAAAAAGATAATTTCTGCTGGAGAGTGAGTACAATTTGAAAATAATACTAGATATTGCTACTAAACATAACATACATATATATATAATTGTAAACTTTTATGCATAAATGAACACACTGCTTTGTGTCACTTGTGACACACTAGTTTATGGATACATACGTATCTGTATATTTGCTGTCTTTATTTTCTAGTCTCTCCAGAGATAAATGGTAACTTTTGACAAAGAATTTTTCGTTTAACATTAGAGAAAATTATTCATTACATAAAAACTTTGAAGTGGTTTCAATGTTTGACTTATCCACAACTACAGCTGTTTATCTTCTTATTTAACACTTCAGAAATAAGCTTTTGGTCATTGGATGATACCATATCTTGTGCTATAGAGATGATTTGAGCTTCCTGAATGAAGATCTTGTTGTTTTTAGCAAATACAATTTCTACTGATGTCTACATTCAAAAAAATAACTATATTTGGCTTGTAAAATTTTCTTAATGAAATATTTTATATTTTTGTAAAATACTCTTGTGCATATCAGATCATTTCATTTAGACTTTATATGTGTGTGTGTGTGTGTGTGTGCATGTTCATACACTGAAATCTTTATTTTTTCAGAGTAGTTGTGGGTCTCTCATGTACTTCTATGAGTCAGCAGATATTTACAAATTTCTCTGGAGAAATAAAATTGTGGTTGATATTGTCGCAACATCTACTCAGTTTGTATTAACATATTGATAGCTACAAATGTAATATCTACACACCCATTTAATCTCACTTTTCTTACCCTGAAAGGCAGATATATTGCTTTGTGTGTTGGTAACTGGTATTTTCCATCAACCTCCAAGAACCTGATGTAAGTATTGGAAGATTTCAAAACTATCTTTGAAGAGGATTAGTTACTCTGAGGTTGTATTTCCTGAAAAATGATGGCTAAATCAGCCCCATTATTCAGCAGCTACAAGCTCCTGTGGATGCTTGAAGGATTATAAGGGAAAAAATTGTGGCAGATTTCAAGTATAAGATTCTTTCATCTGAAGCTGGGTTTCCTTGAGCTGAAACAAACACAGTTGGCAATGCTCATGAACTATATGCAATACCCTCAAACTCTGGAGTCCATATCCTAACTCTGAATATCAGCCCATGTTGCATTAAAGTAACAACATACCTGAGGCACTATATAGAGAGTTGGTGTTGGCTAACAGTTCTGGAGGGCTAAGGGCAAGGATCCACTTCTGGCAATGAATGGCTTTCTTGGTCCCCAGATGGGATGGAGCCTCAGATGGCAAGGATGGTACACAGCACAAATGTGTGTCTCTCTCCCTTTGACAGTAAAGCTGCTGACTTTGCACCAATGTAACTAATTCACAAGGTCTCGGCTCCATATAACACAGCCAGGACAAGTTTCTAGTCAGTTAATACTTCATAGTGAATGCTAAAATCCAGCACACAAGGTTCAGGGAGATGGTTCCAGGAACGAACGCACTTGTCCCAAAGCTTCACAACCTGCGTTTGAAACCAGGCCCTGTATGGTAGAAGGAGAAAAAGTGGCTTGGGCAAGGTGTTTCCTGACTGCCATACAGGAGCCACAGTACACATGAGCCCCCACAGTGACACAAAAGTATGCACTCCTGCATACACATACAAAATAAGCAAACACACCCATACCTAAATGTAAAAAAAATTAGTGTTCAATACACAGACATTGGAGAGACACACTCAAACCTGACCCAAACAGCATTCTGACCCTGTTGTGGCCCCAAGATTCATGTTCTTCTCAGAATACGAAATGCAAGTTCCCCACTCAGGAAAAATCTTAGGTTCACATATAACTGATTCCAGCTTAAGTCAAAGTCCAAAACCTGAAGTTTTATTGGAGGATCAACAAAGCTTCTTGTGTTTGTGAACCTATAAATTGAAAACAAACTTTCTACTTCCAATGCATGGTAAGAGGCAAGGGTACACATTTCCTCCACAAAATACAAGGATCCAGATGGAGAAATGGTCAAAGCAAGAGCTGAACCCTTAAAGAAGTGACTACATTATATGGCCTATGGTACCCACAGACACTCTGTTAAGGAAGATGCTCACGGCCTATGGTACCCACAGACACTCTGGAAAGAAAGATGCTTACAGTCTATGGTACCCACAGACACTCTGGCAAAGAAGATGCTCTCAAAAGCTGGGGTGCTCTGACCATGAAAATTCACACACCTTCATCCACAAGGCCATTCTTTCTAGCTGACAGTCTGTTCTAGAACTCTGTAGTAACTGTTTCATGATGCATGTAGCTATACAACTCAGGGTCTCTACTGAAGCTTGTCTTCCCTAACTCCATGAGACCTGTATAAATGGGAGTCACTGCTACTTAGTATTTTTGGCCTTACAGTGGCACTGGGATAAAAAGTTTCCACAGTATCACTCATGCCTGCCAAGTCAACAAGACATGGACTCCAAAGTCTACAGCCAATGTAAGCCACACCTGGGACTTTCTTAAAACAGCTATAGCCACGGGATGTGTGAGAGACTGACAACAGGGAAGCCAATACAAAGAGAGTGATGGCCATCAAGTTTTGTATGGTGCTGTGGGTATCTTCCTGAAGTTCTTCTACCCTGAAAGGCTTCCGGTCCTCTGATGGGAAGGGAGGCCTAAGAGCTAGAAGGTTTCTTTCTAACTTTCCCCAAGTAAAGCAAACAGATCTTCTATCTTGGCTAATGTCTTTGGTTAGGGCCCATCCTCTGGTGAGCTTCCTTTGTGCCCTCCCAAGTCAGCCTGTGAGTCTTCTGAATCTTCCCATTTTGCTTCCTTTGCTCCAGAATCTCACAGCAGGCATGGCTGAAAGCAACTGATGCCAGCATTCCGTGCCCAGGAATCATCATTGCTTTGAAGTTCCTTCCTTCACATAGTCATCCTCCTTCAGCTCAGCGGTCTGTAACGGATGACATGCAATCTGCAGGAAGACTGGATGCCTGCAAGTCAGTGGTGTGCTAGGGAAGACCCTAGCTTTACAGTATCTGGCAATTATCTGGCCATGTGCTCTAAGTTCTTCCATCCTCCTGTCCTCCACAGGAGCAGAAGAGACGTCTCTAGACTGAGAAACATTCTTGATCAGCAACGAGATTGCTCACCACACAGATGATCAATATTGACTTGTTTTGTATTAGTATTAAAGTAACAGAGGTGACTGATTTATTAAGAAAGATTTCTTAATTTTTATTTATTTATTTTTTTGTAACAGTTTAGTCCTGAGGCCATGCGGGATTTAACTTCCTCTTTTATCAATTCACCAATCACATAGCTTCTTCCTGGTGATGTTGCCCAATTCTAACTACTTCCCAAAGACTCCCCCACAACACTAAGATAAGTAGATGTCCCTAGTCTCTTGTAAGCTCTCAGCAGTGACTACATCTCAATCCAGGAATCACACAGAACACACTCTAGCCATATGGAGGCCATGGCAAGTATAGCTGTATTTAGAGACAGGGGCTTTAAAGAGAGACCTTTAGAGGATTTTGATAGACCTCTAACCCAACACTGGCTTTTTAAAAGAAGAAGAGTTATGTAATAGAAGTAAACTCCGATATAAGGTCATATGAGGAGAAAGGAAAAGTGCATTATCTGAAAACCAAAGAGAACTCAGTGACAATGACTCCAACTGGACCATCACATCTGCTTTCGACTTCTTGACCCCAGAGCTAGAAGCCAAAGCAATTCTGTTGGCGAATGTCTGAGTTGTAGTCAAATTCACACAGCCAGTGGCTTGATCATTTATATGTGTTCACTACTTCATCCATAAATTGAAGTAATCATTACAACTTCCTGATTTCTTACTAGAAGTAAAGAACACCTTACATATAAACCCCCTCTACATGACAAACCCTCAGTGAATAGGAGCCAGTACCACTGATGGGTGCATCTGAATGTAGACACGGAGGTGTTCTGCACATAACACAAAGAAATGTCAGCTCACTTAGAAATCATTTAACTGTTCTTCCTTCTTCTCTATTTTCTGTGAATCCAGTCATAACATGCCAATTTATTAACATAATAGAAAAGGGCCTGAAACTACTCACACGGGCTCTCTGTGAATCCTACCATTTCATTGACTTGTCACAGCAAACAACACGTTTGCCATTTTAATCCATAGTTCTGTATTTGTATCTGTGGTGTAGCAAGGTGGGAACTAATTAAGTATGAAATTACCTTATATATCTAAAGCGGTGCCCGCTCACCTTTAGGCATTTTGGGAATCCACCTAATGAGTTGTGAGTTTTGCTCCACAGGACAATCGCAGAGCTCATTAATGCTCATTAAAACATAAGTAGTATTCAATGGATTCAGCAAAAACTCACTGTATTTTAATGAGCAGCTGAGTTATCCAATGGTCCAAAACCTGTCATGGAGAAAATCTAACAGCACAAAGAAAGTATGTGCCAGTAAAGACATTGAACACTGTGTGTTTCTGGGTATGGAAACATCTGCAACAAAGGGAGAAACTGCCCCCAAGAAGTTCATTCCATCTTCACAACAAAAAACAAATCTGAGTGGATGACTTGGGAAGAATGTGAAGCAGTAGAGAGGATGATGGGTAATTGCAAATTACAACTTGGCTGGTTTAAGGAAATCCAGGGCCGTGAGAGAGCATATTGACGGGGAGCGAGCATGTGAGGGTGTATCCAGAACAGTGTGACTGTGAGGGACAAGTTGGGAGTACAGTGCCTTCAGTGTGTCCTATAGGATGTGTATTCAGAAGGCAGATACCCAGAGAACAGGAGCAAAGGGCAGGTCATGCCTTCTAGTCATGTTGTTCAGTAAGATCACCAAATACTTGACAAAAGCAATGTAAGAAAGCAAGGTTTTTTATGGTGTTTCGACTCACAGGTTGAGGTATATAGTGCTCCTATGAGGGAAGATCACAGGTTGAGGTATACAGTCCTCCTATGAGGAAGTGAATGAAAAACAAGAACTGTCGCATTTTGTCTGCCTTCAAATGCACTGCTCATTTCCTCTACCATAGTCAGTCCAGAGTTTCGGTCCAAGGACTGGTGCCACACACCTCAGAGTAAGTCCTCTCTCCTCAGCTAAACCTTTGTTAAAACACTTTCAGAGACATGCACAGAAGCTTGTTTCCATGGTGATTCTAAACCAAGTCAAGTTGGCAGCAAAGATTTACCCATCATAGGAAGAATGGGTATGTATAGCTATAACTCTCTTATGCCCAGTTCTCTAGTCTGCTTGGTCTACGGACTGTGGAATTCTGGGCACTTCCCAAGTTCTCACACATTTCCCGACAGACTGAAAATTTAACACCAGTTTTTTTTGTAGTTGAACCCAATTGATCTATAGAGATCAGAGGGGCAACAACTCTCAGATATGTTATTTTATCAAACTCCTGAGCATTTTAAGCAAGTCCATCAACATTCTCCATTGTGTAAATAACTATGTAGATTATCTACACATATACTTTACCTAATAGGAATGCTGAAGGATTCTGGAATAACAAATGCTGGTATTATATGAATGCCACAGAGTACATTATGCAATCTATGAACCTAGAGTTTGAAATTCTACATTGAGTTATTGAGTTACATGTGGAAGCATGGTAGACTCATGTCTACCTGCATTATGTTGCTGACACCTGTGGGAAAGTATTATATTACAATGTCACGACAAATAGAAAGCAAGGACCTTTCCACCCTGTCATATCTTATGAGACCAGATAACTACTGTAGTCATTGTCCATATGAACCTTGACATTTTTTACTTATTTCCCTCAAATTTATTATAATGAGATTGGGAAATATTCTATAATTAACATGAGCTAATAATGGGGTGCTTTGCATGAGTCCTTCTAATTTATAGGATTTTTCCCAAGAGCTCCTCCCAATTTCCAAAGTGCTAAGACTCTGTCAATATTTCTGTTTTGAAAGAATACATCTTGTCTGTACTGAGCTTCATAACCTATTTGGGAGATATACAGGCATTATTTTTGTTTAAATGTGAAATGTTCCTTATAGGGTTTATGTGTTGAAGTTATGGTCCCTAAATGTGGCATCAATCATTTGGATGCAAATTAGATCACTCTGTATGCTGGCATAATCTATCATCTATCTATCTATCTATCTATTATCTGTCTATCATCTATCTATATATATCATTTATCATTTATCTATCTAACAATCATCTATCAATCATCTATTTATCTATCTGTCATCTATCTTAGTATGTATGTAGTAAAAGCTCTTCCATTTACTATAAATCTTCCTATGAATGGTCACTAATTCTTGGAACTCCAGGACACTTTGCATCTCTTTCTAGAAGGGAGCATATAATGCAAACCACAAATATATATATACCAATTTATTAACTGGGGTGCTATGGGGAGACGGACTCATGGATACATGAAAAGATATATTTCATTTAAGAGGCCTTTTTTGCCCAAAGAAGCTGGGGACAGACTACAGGCCGCTTCATACCACATGAACTGGTCTTCACCACCCAAGAAAGCATATAACCTTTACTCT